AAAGGAAAGATTTCCCTTATTAGGGGATCAGAAGAACTGATATTGTGAAAATGGCCAAATTACCAAAAGCAATTTATAAATTCAATGCCATCTCTATTAATTTCAACATCATACTTCAAAGAACAAGAAAAAAGCAATCCTGCGATTCATATGGAATTTAATAGGCACCCAAATGACCAAATCATTTCTGAGCAAAAACAGTGATGTGAGAGACATCAAAATACCAGATTTCATACAATGCTACAAAGCCATAGTAACAATAACAACAAAAGGCACTGGCACAGAAAACAGACACAGACCAGGGAGATTAATGGAACAGAACAGAGGACAGAGAAACAAACACACACACATGTAGCCATCTGATTGAGGGGGGTGGGGACTGGGGATCCAACTTGGATCCTCGAGTTTGCAAGGCAGGCAGCAGAACCAATGAGCTAAATCCCTGGCCCTAGCCATCTGATTTTTGGCAAAAGAATCCAAAACATACACTGGGAAAAAGACAGCCTCTTTAACCAATGGTACTGGGAAAACTGAATACCCATATGCAGAAGATTGAAAATAGATCCCTACCACCCAACTTGTACTAAAATCGAAACAAAAGGGATCAAAGACCTAGATATAAAATCAAGAATTGTAAAACTGTTAGAAGATAATATGGGAAAAATTCTTGAAGGCAAAAACTTCTAAGACTCCAAAAGCAGAGAAATTAATACTATGAGCCAACAAGTGGCATTATATCAAATTAAAAGCTGCACAGCAAAGGAAAACAACAGAGTAAAAAGACAATCCACAGAGTGGAAAAATATTTTCACTAGCTTTCCTTTAGCTGAAGTATTAATATCTAGAATATATAAAGAATTCAAAATATTAATCCCCAAATAACTCAATCAAACAGTGGGCAAATGAACTGAATAGACACTTCTTGAAAGAAGTAATATAAATGGCCAATAAGTGTATAAGAAAATGTTCATTATCTTTATTAGCCATTAGAAAAACACAAATCAAAACACTGAAATTTCATGTCACCAGGCAAAATGGCCATGATTAACAATACAAAAGAAAACAAATGCCGGTAAGGATAGAGGCAAAAAGATACTGTTCTCAAAAAATTAAACATAGAATTGGCACTTCATCCAGTTATTACACTCCTGGGTATATTCCTGAAACAATTAGTCAGCATTCTAACAGTGATACATGCATATCTATGTTTATAGCAGCACAACTCACAACAGCTGCATTGTTGAAATAGCCTAGATAGTTGATAAAGAAAATGTGGCATATATACACAACTGAATATTATTTGGCCATAAAGAAGAACAAAATCATGACATTTGCAGGAAAATGGATGGAACTAGGGACTATCAAGTTAACTGAAATAAGCCAGACTTATAAAGTTAAATCCCACATTTTCTCTCATATGAAAAACCTAATTAATTAAAGGAGAGATGACAGGAAACTAAGAGAAAGACTTTTGTAGATGAGGAAAGGGATTAGAGGCGAAAAGAAGTTAATGGGAAAAAGATCAAGATATGTTAAATGTATCATCAATTTACCTAAATGAAACTCACTGTTCTCAAATAAACAAAACAAAGCACTTCTCATATATCCTACAGGACAGAAAGCAAGGAAGGGCTGACTATGCAGAGAGTCCAAGATCTTGCTGAAATTCAAATTATTTATCTTTTCAATCACAGTGTTGTATCTCTTTTGGACTGGTAGCCTCAACATGAGATCTAGCACCAGAGAACCTGAGAAACACCATGTCAGGAAAATGGGAGGTAAAGGGTGGTTACCAGGACCTAGACTGTCATGGGTAAGATTTAATTCTCACTAAGCTGGTCTAAAAAAAATCGATGAGAATAATTTTGTGATATGTATGAATAAGTACCACTGTTCCCTAAAGACCTGTGAATTTAAGTGTTCATGCCTAAAGTGATATGGAAGAAACCTAGCAACTATCTTTCTACCCCCTTTATATCTGATAATACTACTGTGAGACCAACAGAAGTGACTTAGAAATACATCTTCAACTGGCTGGGAATGGTAATATATACCTGTAGACCCAGTACTCTGGGAGGCTGAGGCAGGAGAACCCCAAATTTGAGCCCAGCCTTAAACTTAGCAACACTCTGTCACACAATAAAAAATGGGCTAGGAATCTACGACTATAATTCGGTATGAAGGCCCTCCTCTATTTAACCCCTAGTACCACAAGGGGTGAGGAGGCACACTCTTCAATATCAACAAATAGTGGTGAAAGCAGCAGATACACACAAAATAACCTCACCAGAGTTTTCCCTTTTTAGAATCACGACCCCTTGAATGGAGTAAGTTTAAAATCTCAAGGTATAAGCAGGAGCCAGAAGACAGACCAAAAAAAAAAGCCTAGGATTATGCCTGTTGCAACTGATGATGCTTTAAATCCACCCAGGAAGGAAAAACACAGGGACAGCCAGGGAATGAGAGAGGATTGGACATAGGTATAAGATTGAACCAACCCTCCGTCTGGGTCCTGCTCTGTATGTACGGCAGCTAACGTGTGTGACTCATGGCACTGTCCTTGGTCCCAGAGAGGGACAAGGACAGCCAGAACCCTCATTTTCTACTCTGATGACCCTAGAGGCCCAGGTAAACCTGCAATGCCCTACTCGTGGATATTGCCATCTCCTCCAGGGACCACTGGGTAATCTCAGATGTCATGGAATAAAGCCAGTCCCACCAGAACTGTCTAACAGACAAAATCACCCAAAATGACAAAGCTACTCCAGTGAGCCTCTGGAAGACTTGAAATTTCTCTTCAGAAAGCAAGATTCCAGTGCCACTACAAGAAGCATGGAAATCTGACCTGCTCCTCATATTTGTACTAACAGTGAAGCTCAATGGTCCTTAACTCTTTCCTTATTGGTTTCTGACAGGTATTTTCCTTTTTTCAACCCAGGCAGTGAGCTACAGCACCCCAAGGTAGTTGGAGAGCACATAATCCCCAGTAGATAGGGTCTACAGCCCCTTCCAGCTCAAAGAAGATATAGAAGCCAGAGACCTCCAATTCTTCTGTACCCCATAAAGAATTATGAGGATCTATTTCTCTCATGGGGAAATAAAATAGATTAGGGCATGGCAAAGCTGGCTAGGCAAATAGGCATAACCTATTAATTCCAATATCTTGGAACACATGAACAGAACAGTTCCCAAAACCCTGCACATGAACTTCTCACAAGAAATTGAGCAAATTTTCAATAGGATGGCCTTGATCTGACGACAACCTGAGGCATGGGATCCCAGCACTGGACCTCTCAGGACCTGTAGGTAGAAGTTCTTGTGGGTTTCTTGAGATTTGGACAACATAAAAGGATACAGACACCGGAGAAGAACTGGTAATAAAATGTAATGATGATAATGGAAATTCTATTTTTCTTTTGAAGGATTTTTAAAACATACACATTAAAGACTTAATACTGTCATTTCGATACTATCAAACCTGAGCTTGTAATAAAATTTGATAGCTAAAAAAAAAAAAAGGGGCACAGACACCAAGTAGAGACATCCTACATCCTCCAGGGTATACTTTCATCTTGCATTAAGCTAGCTCTGCAGAGCCAGTTTCTCCCTCACTCTTCATTTTACTTTTTTCAAATAAACGTTGCCACTGCTAAACAACACAGAGCCATATCAGAGCCATAAAATTGTAGAAGGTAATAAGCAGATTAAGGAGCACTAAAAGTAACTGCTGTGGTTTGTAGCTGAAACAAAGGCCCCATAAGTATAAGGTCTAATTTGTATAATACCAGGCTTCCAAGATCACTTATGTCAAGAAAGCAGAAAACATTAAGTATAAGAATTGGGGATAGATGGGGAGGGGAGGAGGGGGTGAAGGGAGGGCAGAGGTTAGGGGAAAAAATGAGAATCAAGACTTGTCACGTAGAGGTACAAGATCCTAACAATGAATGTAACTGTACTGTATCCCTAAAATGTACCAATAAACTCAATTAAAGCTGTGAGGGGGGGTGAAGGGAGGGCAGAGGTTAGGGGAAAAAATGAGAATCAAGACTTGTCACGTAGAGGTACAAGATCCTAACAATGAATGTAACTGTACTGTATCCCTAAAATGTACCAATAAACTCAATTAAAGCTGAAAAAAAAAAAAAAGAATTGGGAAAACTGAGAAAAAAGATTAATAGAATTTCTAGGATAAGATAGTGAACAATTCCAAGAAGAAAAATCAGTGCAGCAGGACTAGAAAGGGGGCTTCAGAAGGTTAAGTGGAAATATTTGACTGCACTGGAAAAAAAATTACAGTATTTTAGTAAAGAAATATTAATAATCTTAGCAAATGAAAACATAAGGCAATGTTAAAGTGAAAAATAGCTCTTTACAAAAGGAAAACGCTATAATACTTGACTGCAGCACTACAAACAATATTTATGTCATGATAAAAATATAAATACCAAGGGTCAGGGATTTAGCTCAGTGGTGCTGCCACCTGCCTCTTAAGAGCAAGGTCCAAAGTTCAATGCCCGGTACCAAACACACGCACACACACACACACACACACACTGAATATTTGTTTGATCAACTATGCTGTAACTATAATGAAATGATAGCATGAGAAAGGCACTAAAAGATGTTCATAGAATTAAGTGGGCTCAATTCTATTCTTCAACAATAAAAACTAAGATGAGGTAGAAAGGAGAAAACTAAGGAAAATCAGCACAGATTTTATAGAACAATGAAAGTAAAACCAAAACAAAATTAATTTTTTAAAAATCTAAAACAAAAAACTGTTACCATAAAAGTGGCACTGTAGGTTGTTGCTCAGCTTTTCTGTATAAGTTTAAAATGACTTAAAATGATGGGAATACATTATATATCATTTGCAACTTATATAATCACTTCCTACACTAAAAAAATTGCTTTCATTACTCTGAAAATACAAAAGGGATGTAACAAATAAAATGTCATGTATACATCTATCTGTATTGAAGGTGGGAAGCTAAACTTACTCCAATAGGCTGAAAAATAAGTCCATCCATTTCGTGGCTGACTTCTTTGGCAAAATTTCCTTCAAGTAACTGTAAAAAAAAAAATTAAACGTATCATTTAGCAATACAAACATTACTTAAAAACTCTTTTAATTTCTTGGCAAGCTTTATGAAAACTTAATATATAAGCTGTAACAACTAAAATAACAAAACGGGAGAGGCAGGCCGAAGATACCACCTCAAGATCATCATCACTCAACATAAATGTGAATCAAAACATCACACCGTGCCTCATAAATATGTACTATTATGTGGCAATCACAAAAATAAAGTGAAATGATAATGGATAAAGTACTGAAAACCTTTTTAAATGTATTGCTTAGTCAGAACAAAATAAAGGAAGATGTAGAGACCTCCCCGCAAACGCTGAAAGTATAAATTCTGAAAATAGAATAAAAAATAAAAATACACAGCCCATAAACTTGCTTGGGGACAAGAATTTGAAACCACGAAGTAGCTTACACATGGGAATTAATGTGTAAAAACATTGTGTTTTCTAAAAAACATCAGAAAATTTTAATCTTTCTGGTTTGCCTTTTTTGCCTTTTCTATTTTTTCAAGCAGAAAATTTCATTACAAAGGATATATAGTACAAAATAAAACTCACAGTTTTTCAATATATCTACTAAACAGTGGAGTTACAAACTCTATATTATCTGATTAATTCCCCACAGTGCTTAAAAGATGGAAATAAAGTGGTTGTAAATGGGGAGGGGAGGAAGGTGTGAAGGGAGGGCAGGGACAAAGGGAAAAAATGAGAACTAAGACCTGTCATGTAAAGGTACAAGATCCCAATAATGAATGTAACTGTACTGTATACCTAAAATGTACCAAGAAACTCAATTAAAAAGAAAAAAAAAACCTTACCTTTTATAGATTTTTATTATTTTGAAGAACTTAACATATGTATCACTGATGGAAGCCCCAACAATAACTTCTGCACATCACGGAAGAAAACACAATGGGCTTCCACAGTGCCAGTTACCAGCATATTACCTAGAATCTGGCCACATATTACCTAGAATATGGCCACATATTACCTAGAATCTGGCCAACTAATAGGAAATCCAGGATAGTTTGGGGATTCAAACAGGTCTCCAAAATGTGGCTATGCTATGTGTTATACCCTACATCCCTTTCATCACAGTTGTACACTCTTGAAAGTACTGTATTTATAGAAAGATTTGCTTCCCAAAAGCATCATCCAAAACTTCTAAGTATATTTTACATGCAACAAAATCCGTCATTGTCCTCCAAAACTGACTTCATCTACTCTATCATGTCCTTCCCCAAGATCTGTAATTTCTCTGAAAAATGAGAGCAGTTCAAATTGGAGTTTAAACATGTTCATTTCCTTTAAAATGTAACAGTCCTCTATCACATTCAGAGACAAATTAGACCAGTGATAGCCATAGTCTGGAGGGTAGCGGAAGGAGATGGAGGAATTAATGTTTAAAGAGTTTCTGTTTTGGAAAAAAAACGTTCTAAAAACCAATGATGGTGATGGTGGCTGTACACTAACATGAATGTACATAATGCCAAACTGTATGTGTAAACATAGTTAAAACGGTAAAATTTATGTTTTATACACAAGATATGATCAAAAAATAAAGTTAGTGTTTAAATTTTTATTATGGTAAAAAAAAAATGTTGCCACTGACCTCTTCAAAATACTACCCACTTGTTTCAAACACACTTCATCAGTTGCATTGTGGAATACCTCAATGTCCTGAAACAATTCAAAACATTCACCTTTCATGGTCATTTTGACTCTGGGAGAGAGCCAGAAGTCACCCAGTGCCAGATCCAGTGAATACAGAAGATGAGGACACATCAAAATATTTACAAGTTTGCCTCTCTGCTGAATGGCCCTCAGTTAAATGCACACACCAAATTTTTTATCACATCTTGAAAAGACATTCATGAAAGAGGACTTTTGTAACTGCTTCAAAAAGTGGCAAGAATGAGGAGATAAGTGTGTTTGAAGTGGGAGAAATTTTCTGAGGCGGATTATTGGCAATGCATCTTTTACTTTTTAAAAAAGATTTAAGTATTCACTGTACAGTCTGATCACCCACAGTATGTAAACACACACACACACACACACACACACACACATACACAGTTGGCAAGCCACTAGATAACATGATCTTACCTGCTACAGATATAAAAATAACTTCATTATTTTACTGTAATATTTCTAATACTTATTTTCTTTGTCTAATACTTGTTTGCATTCTTTTTATTTATTTTTATTATTATGTGTTTGTAGTACAAAATGTTTACATTTCATGTGTGGAGTTGATACATGTACATAACACATCTTAATTCCTTCTCCCGTCCCTCTCTCCATCTCCCTTCTCCTCCCTCCATCTCTTGATTCTCTTCTCACTTGAAATTTATTCTACTTCCTATTATCTAGCTTTTATTTTATGAATGAGATCATTTAAAGGGCTATGAGGAAACTTCTTAGGTCACACAAGAGTCCTTCTGCAGCAGTACTCCAGACTCAAGACAATTTTTCTTTCTCTTCTTTCCTCTCCTTTTTCAGTACTGGGGGCTGAACCAAAATGCCAAAGTGTCCAGCCTTTTTTTTGTGTGTGTCATATATAAGCACTTATAGTATTTTCTATTATGTACTACAGATCTGGCATGAGGTTGGTAATTAACATTATGATTCAAATCACATGACTTCTCATGAGATGTGTATCCCTGAGTTCTGTACTATTACTTCAATTTGACAAAAAAGGAAACTGAGAAAATCAAGACAATAAACATTGCTTCAAATCAGAAAGTTAAAAAAAAAAAAGCACTCAGATTTCATTAAGACTTCAACTAATAAAATAAGCAAATAACCAGACTTCTCTGACTCTCTGAAACAAATGCCCTAATGATTCTGAAACTTCCTAAACACGGTCCTTCAATAGCCATATAAAATTTATAGTTAAGTACTTTAAATGTGCTGTAGAATATAATATCAATAAAGTAAATACAAAAGGAGGTAAAAATTTTGTAGAAAGAACAAAACTTATTAAAAAAAATTAACATTATAGAACTTACTGTTAATTTATTCATGTTTGAAACCATATATGTAAAGTAATATGTAAAACAATGTTAAATGAGTAACACTACTGTCTATTCACAATTCTTAAAATTTACCCAAACTTGTTTATGAATACTTTTTACACAAAAGTGTACATTACAGCCAACATTTTAAGATACTTTACACTTTTCCATTATTTTCTGAGTTACAGTGTACTTCAAATTATGTATAAAACTGTCACTGCAAATGCTATCCAAGCTATAAGAGCCAATCGAAAAATGTTATAAAGGCACCCCTAACTTTTGTCCCACAGGTTTATACTAATAATTTTGGAGGTGTTCTGCTCCTTAAGTTAACTTTAAAAGGCTAGTTTTAAGGGGAAGTTCTAATTTCACTTAAAATGTTAAAATGGCAAGAGAATATCACTTCCACCCTGAAAATAAAAAAATTATGAAGTCACAATTTTCGCTAAAGCCATCACAAAGTTTATGTCTGCAGGCAATTAGATAAACTAAATCCTACCCATTCCAAAGGAAGATGAGACACATGAACTGATAAGTCTCATTTGGGAGAACAAAAGAAGTGTCAGGCATAAAAGTGAATACAAAGAAAACAACTGAAAGTTTGATCAATTCTTAAAAATAAATTATTTAGTACAGGCAACTGCCTGGAAACTACCAAACACAGCTTTCCACTTACTTGCTACCTAGGCTTCTGCCAAGATTCATATCAAAATCTGAGAGCAGAGCAGGAAATATAAGAAAGCACCACCTTGCTTAAGTATAGCTATGAAAACCCTCCTGTTTGCCATGCCCTTCCTGACATGAGGCAAAAGCTATCTGAGAATAAAGCCATTTGCAGCTACATAAAGGGCTGAAGACAGCCTTGGGTTAAGAATAGTAAATGGGTAAAAAGCAGAAAAACTTCAAGCCAAAGCTTTCTGAGAGAGAGAGAGCATGAGAGAGCAAGAGCAAGTGAGACGGCCCACTGAGTAATATGTGTGCCAGACCAGTGCCATGGTTCTGCCTGATATTGACACTGGAGGGGAACTAAGAGAGCCCGCAGCCACAAGTCTGGTACCAAGTAACAAGAAATAGCACTTTACATATAGAGAACACGAGAAGCATAAAAACAGAACACACTGTGATACAGGGAAACAGAGCTTACTGAAAGCTAAAAGTGAAGCTGGAAGACAGGAAAACCATTTTATATTCCAAGCCTCACAATAGGCAGAACAGCAGCAGCCAATTGCTCAGGAAGTTTGAAGTCTTTGGAACATCAAAGATAAAACTACACAGCAACCTAAACTCACCTCAAAATACAAAACATAATGAGTCAACCACTACTCTCTATCCACCCCCACTACAAATAAAGCCTCTTAAAACAAACTGAAAAAGTATGTCTTTTACTGAGCATAGATATTTACACTGGGCTGGGATGTATCTCAGTGGTAGACTGTTTAGTGTTCATGAGCCCTTGGGTGAAAATTAACAAACAAACAAAACCCAAAAGATATTAACTTCAGTCTGTATTGTTCATGAAGAAAAAAATGAATGGCTGACATTCAATTAAAACATTATCTCTCAAGTGGGGATAGTGTTGTGCATCATGTAGTCCCAGCTGAAGGGAGCTAGAAAGGCTGCTCCCTTCCCAAGAAAGCTTGGAAGGCTGAAGGAGGAGGATCAACTGAGCCTCCATCCAAAAAGAGATTTTAAAAACTCCCATATTCATACACAAAGCAAGAACAAACAATCTACATTCAAAGGCAGTCAATATTTCAAAAACTACTGCTGGGCGCAGTAGCACATGCCTGTAATCCCAACACTCAGGAGGCTGAGGTAGGAGGATTTGAGAATTTGAGGCCAGCCTGGGCTACATAGTTCAAGGTCAGCCTGAACTGCATACCAAGACCCTGTCTCAAAAACAAGGAAAAAAAAAATACAGAGGACCTACATTTTGCAATTATCAAACACTTAAAAATAACCTT